CAAGACACTGAGGCGCAAAGATTAACACCAGCCGCTGACCCATGCTCCAAAGAGTGTGAATAAATTAAGGCATCAAGATCATAATACTCTGCGATCGGCCACGATAAACACTTTGATTAGCAATCTGTAATGTATGTGTGTGTGTGTGTCTGTGTGTGTGAGTGGGGACTCCCGCTGCGAAAATGAAATGGAAGCGGCAGCAAAACGAGCAACAGCAGCCACAGTGAACCCAAAACTAAAACTTGAGCCGTACCGGACTCAGAATTGTGCTCTAATTGCCATTGCCTGACTAGCAGATACCCTGTACGGTCAGATAATGCAGAGGTATATGTTAAATGAGGCCTTAGCCTTGCTTTCTCCTTCTTCCAGATATAGTTTTAGATCTCAATATTTAATAATTGGATCCACATTCGACGAAAAACTAGCTATCGATATATATCGAAGTTACTTATATATTATAAGAGCATCAATAAAACATTTGGTTTATTTTTTAGCAAATGTAGGAATATTCAAAGGAAACATAATTATCGATAAATATCGAAGTAGAGAAAAACTTAATAGGGCATAAACATATGGAAATTGTGTAATGCATGTGGAGAGGCCAAATCATAAATCGATATATATAGAAATTGTATAGTAATGGATAAAACATTATACAAAAATGTATTCCATGAACAGTTCCGAAAGTGATAATGACGATTGCGCTATCAGCATGTATCATTTGTTGAATGCAATATGAAATCGATAATTATCGAAACATCATTTAAAGATAATTTCAGACAAAAAAAATTGACTATTCTCGGTAGAAGAAACACCGAACAGATACCTTCATTTGTACCCCACTTAGCGACTAACGTAGAGCCACCCCTCATCAGCATATACAGGGTATCTATGGGTAAATACAAAAAAGAAACGAAACACAGCTCAATTCTTGAAGGCTGCGGCTCAAGAGAGCAAAACACGGCAAACACCAAAATGCCCCATAATTATGACAATCAGTTGTTGTTGCTGCTGCTGCTGTTGTTGTTGTTGTTATTATTGCTGTTTATGATGAAGCGCTAATCCGTATTGTTGTTGAGCTGTTATTCAGTTGTTGGGCTAAGAATCTGTTACAGAAAACTTAAAAGCGTCGTTTTAATAACTTTATTGATTTCGATTAAGCGCTATAACGTAGGGTGCACAGCATTTCTGGTCGGGCATATCGATTTGATGTGCCACCAAGTTTTTGATGTAAATATATGAGAGCGAATAAAAAGAGTAGAGTCTATTAAACAGAAGATATAATAGACTAAATATTGAAATTATTTCTCGAATTCCTGGAGTAGGGTGTATAAGAACTGATTTATGCAATATGTTAATATATGCAATCAGAGCTTTTCGTAATTATGTATGTAAGCGATATATGGAATGTACTGGCAGATCAAACATGATTAATAAAAAAGTAATTTATTCATAATAAATATTAGCTAATTTACAAAATAATATTTATAAAAAATACAAAAAGTTCTACTATTTATATTAAATAGGAGACAATGTAGGGTATTTGAAGTCTTAAAGATTTCAAATCGTTCATTTCTTTCTTCGAAGTTTCAATCCCAGTTGGCAGTGAAAAGAACTTAATTAGCTTAAAGAGCTTGCGAGCATTAAACTATGATAAGCAGGAAGCATATTGGAGCAGTCGAGTGTGCCCGAACAACGGTGTTATATCTGCCGTATACAAAGCCAATAAACAACAATTCATGAACAATAAGGCAAACAGAAATAACTTTTCAGCTCAATAAAAACTCATTTACAAAGAGATCTGGAGAGCATAATATATAGAAAAGGTGAATCCGTAAAATGATGAGGCAAAGCAAAGAGAGAGAGATTCGATTTTCGTTGTTGTTGTTGGCAAAGAGTTTAAGGAGGAAAATATTTAATGAAAAACGTGTGAAGAATAGTTAAAAGGCGACCAATTTGATTTGCATCGAAAAGTAATTGAGCCACAAAAGTTATGGACGCTCCACGGGGCACACGACCACGAAACGAAACCGAGGATCATACGAACATACCTACACACATACAAACATATACATACATACAAAGACGTACGCAGCTAGCATGAAAGTTAAGATCAGCCAGAGCTACATAAGCTCTATTCAAACGCAGAGAAGAGAGATAGAGAGAGAAGGGCGAGAGGGGAATAGAGAGTGGAGAAAAATCTTTCAAATCATGCAACAATTATTAAAATACATAAACGTAATAATCATATCAACAGGCCAACACAAAGAGGGCAGGGCAGGGGGCAGCAGCAGCAGTTCCAGCAGGAGAAGCAGCAGCAGCAGCAGCAGCAAGCGGAATCATTAACAGCATGCAGCAGCAGCAGCAACAACAACAACAAGAGTAACAATAAAAGCGCGAACACTGAAAAATTAATAAGCAATAAAATTGCCATGAAATGAACGCCACAAATTCCCATGAAAGCGGCCGCAGTTCATGTCGACGTCGACGTCGACGTTGACGTTGCCGTCCCGTTCGCTGTCGACGTCATGCTGTGTAGCCACAGCAAACAGCGACAGCAGCAACCAGTTAAACTTACCAAGCTTAAAGTTTAAACGGTTAATTGTAGCTTACCGCGACTTGTGGTACACAGAGTGTGTGTGTGAGAGAGAGAGAGAGAGAGAAATATACAAAAAAAAAAAAAAAAAACAAAAAAACAAAAACAAATGCAAATTCAATTGACACATTTTGTAGCATGCAACAAACAGCTGTAATCAGTGCTCGGGGAAGGGGCATTGTCTGTTGATCAGCTATATATGTCTCTCTCTCTCTCTCTTTCTTCTTCTTCACTCTCTGCTTGAGTTATACAACTGCTCCAAATTGTCTATGGAGAGACATCATATAAAGCTAATTAGAGTGGCTCAAATTCGGAAACAAGAGTAAAACAAGGCAAACACTTAGGTTAAATAGGCCGTAGTTAAGCTCATGAGAATCGCAGAGTGAGGAAATAGAGCTAAAGCTAAATATATTTGGCATTGCCAATTTAACAAGGTAAATTTGGTATATGCTTAAAAGTTTGAAATAAGCTTGTAGAGAGAGAGCGAGAGAGAAGGAGAAGGAGCGATATATACAGAGAACAAATGGGAGATAACTTCTAAAGCTAAAGTAGAGATTCTAAAGTATGTCAAATAAAACATATCAAAGGAAATACGAGGGTAGAGACCGTGAGAGGGAGAGAGAGAGAGAGGGAGCGAGAAAAATAAAGCAAGAGAAAGAGAGAAAAAGACAGAATTGAAGAGTTATTGAGAGCTAACTAGTAGATGATAGTAGAGTAGTAGTAGGTAAGTAAGAGGGAAAGAGAAAGTACTCTAATTGTAGAGTCAATTGGCAAGAAGAGCAACACAATTTCTTTAGCTATTAATATTCCCGGTGACTTATAAGTTTGTATTTTGTCTCTGTTTAAAGATAATAAAAGTCCCTCTACAATTCTTGGTCTAACCAGTCCAGCCTTATTTCCCAGAGCATCTTTATGGCTCTCTACAATTTTCTCATCCATCCTTTACCTCTGTTTTCGTCTATTCTAAATGTATCACATCTCTCTCTATCTCTTTCTTTCATTGCCACTATCAGACTACCTTTTCATATTCTTCCATATCGCTTAGTTGGTCTCTATTTGTTTGCCCACTTTTTCACTTTATGTCTTTAGCTCTCTCTCTCCCTCTCTCTCTCTCTCTCTCTCTCTCTCTCGGTTTTTCTCTTTCTCTTTGTAATCGTTTCTTTTTCTCTCTCTTTCGCTTGCTCATATTATCTCTCCTGTTCTCTTTCTCTCATTCGATTTGTCTTCTCAGCTTTAGCTCCCATCATTGACTTTCCCGCTCTCTCTCTCCCTCTCTCTCTTTCTCTCTCTTAGTTTTCTTTTTCATATCTCTATTTCTCTGTAATTACCCCCCACTCTTTCTCCCTTTCTCCAGCCAGTCAACCCGTGCTCCCGCTTTTTTTCATTTCCGATTGCCCATTTGAATTCGATTTGGTTATTTCGATTTTTACAGCTGGCAATTGATTTGTTTATGCCATATTTTTATCTGCAGAGCTGTTGAGCGACAATCCGATTTTTAATACGCTGCATAAAAGCGAGGCGGGTCCATTAACTGCCCATTGGCTGGCGATAAAAAACACTTTTGCTTCGTTTATGCGTATTTCTCATTTGGGAATTGTTTTCATTTTCATTTTTTATTTTATTGAATTCTTCGCCAATTTTTATATGACCAAAAAAAAAAAACATTATTTTAGTGTTTTTTCATTACAATTCATTTTGTGTTTTGTTTTTGTTTGTTTATTATTTTTGTTGGACAATATTTTTGTTGCTCTTGTCTTTATTTTTATTTTTAAAATACAATATATGTACTTTGCATTCTATTTATAGTATTCTGTGTGTCTCATATGTGTTATATTTTATATGTACTGCTTCCTCTTGGTTTTTACATTCTCTCAATCGGGACAAAAAAAAAATTCACTTATTACGTTTGCTTTTATGTTGCTTTTTGTTTCGTGTTTCCTTTTATTTTTTTGCTAGTTTAAATTACATTTTTTACATACACACTCTGTCTCTCTCTTTCACACACACACTCATACAGCAAAAAAAAAAACTTATTTTAT